TGTTGCTAAACTGGTTATATGACATCACACAGTTGTGGCATGCCCTACAAAGAAGAAGCATGCCGCCCTCGGTTGGTCAGACTTGATCGGTACAGAAATGCAATCATCACAGGTCAGGCTCCGAAGTACGGCGTGGCAGAGTGTGCCTGGTCAGAAGGCGAACGTCGGCCAGCGTGGGATCAGATGGCCCTCTTGGATAGACAGCAACGCTGGAGAATTGGCGGCCATCAGGGGGACAGCGCAGGTGCCGATCGCTAATGCCATTATGAGGCCGAGCGTATGCATCTGCTGATCGGCCACGCTGTTGAAAATCCCGATATGTCCAGGTGGTGATTGGAAGTAATATCTAAAACAGAAACTTTGTACTTCTCGAAAAACTTAGTAGTCAAGCCCACCTGATCCACACCAACCAGAAGACCCCGGTTCGAATCCCAATAACTGCAAAGCCAAATTCGGGTCGAGACGCTTACATGGCTAAAGGCAGGCGTTATATAGTTTTCAAAACCCAATAACACCTGACAGTGATGGGAGAATAAACAGCCCGAAACCTGATCTACAAAATAAGACATCAGACCAGAACGAAAGTTCCAACAATGAAATCCATTCATGCGGCTGCTATCCCGAGTCTATCATCCCGTGCAACTGTCAGCGACAAGTACGGGTCCAAAACAGCGTCCCACTGACGACAGTGGACGTCACCTCATCGGCCGGCTAGCATGTCCAAGGTATCTGACATTCCAGCGCAGCTGTAAAAACACCAGCATCATTTCGTGATTGGCATGAGTAGCGAACACGGACCGTCGAGTGTTCACCGCAATGAGCGCAGGTCACTACGGTGCGAAGGCTGGGCGTTCTCGTGTGGTTGCGAGGGCCGAGAACGTCCGCGCGTTCTCAACGAACGCAGCTCGTTGAGCGAGCGAGGGTCGAGCGAGCGAAAGATGCGCGAGCGCGATCGGTCCTCATCAGGCCGAGAGCGTGAGCTGGCGTCCGCGGGGGCCCGGCGCACGATGCTGAAGCGGCCGTCACAGGCACTGGGCGTCCCGCGGGAGGCGTCGGAACTTCACGACGAGCCCTGTCGTGTCTCAGGTAAGTGATGCTGGCCTTACTTCAGGTGCACCGCGTCCAGCTTTGAAACCAGTAAGTGACCATGAAAGCCGATGAGGTTGACGTGTGCAGAATGCCAACGGTGGCTGCGGACTTCGTCGGTCAGAGTAGATCCATGTTGAGTTGGGTGATGTTTTCGGGCTTCGAGTGGTCGTTAGACGCCCCAAAACATAAGTTTCAGCCGTGCCGGAATGTCGCCGGTCTTTCTTACTAAGACTCAAAAGTTTATCTCTGAAGGAATTTTTGATGTCGCATTTTCTATTTCATCTGTTGAGTTTTAATTTCAAACCGCGAAAAAACAATTAGGTACTGAGCTCTTCAAGTGTTAAAACCATCGGTAGGGTACCGGGCAGGGAAACTGTGTTGCACGGTCGAAAATGTTGTACAGAGGTGCGATACATACATAAATACAAACCAAGAATGCTGTGCAGGTTTGTGATGCATACAGATCTGCAAGCCCCAAGTGTTGTGCAGGGGTGTGACGTAGACAATGTACAAGCCCCAAATGCGCACACCGGGTGTTAGCCTGGGGTTAAATATCCTTTTGTATGCTCGCGTGTCATAATTAGTGTGAAAGTTGCCACGCACGGTTCGGTGCTAAATTAAATGCTACACTGTTCATAGTCGAATGAAAAGCTATTGTTTAATCTGGCGTTGCAGCCGCAGGAGAAAAGCATCTCACTGTTGGAAAGTCGGGGGGGGGGGAGGGGGGGGGGGGAAATCTGCCCACATGCATCGCCGGTCAGTCGCGTAAAGCCGGAGCTTCCACCGCGTTTTTCCTGCATGACACCAAAAATATACTATAAAATACTTGGCGAATGGTTTTGAGCAAAAATAAGAGCAAGTAAGAATCGAGAAACATGTTTCATGGCCCGGTTTTCTTCAGGCCGAGTAGATGGAGCGGCGAGGAGGGTGACAGTGTGGGCGGGAATGTCGCCAGAGTTGGACCGCAGGACTCAAAGGTTGAAGCCGAAACTGCAGTGACCGCTGGATGGCTGGGATGGCCGTGAAGTGGTGACCACGTGGACCTGACGCCTGGCCTGGTGCTGCTTTGCGTGCTCATCTCGGGACCTGTTTTATCCGCAGAGACTCGGAAGCCCGCGGTCGACCCCGTTCACACATCCGCGCCGTATACTGCCGACAAAGTCGGGCGTCGCCCCATCCTGGTCGTCCGCAAAGTGCGTTTTCCCATCGAGGTGCACTCGGAGTCCTGTTGTTGCTGTTTCCCGGGTGCGCTCGTGGAGCTGGTAAGCGGCACAGGGTTTCGTTTCTGCAGTGTTTATCTCCAAAAAGCCCCTTTCAATGATTCGGTATGTCTACCTCTGGCGCTATTGCTCCAGCCTACAGAAAAAAGCTGTATATTGTCTTGCTACCTCTTGGTGGCTACATCGCTGATATGGCTGCACATTATCACGCTATTCTTGTTCGTTTGTATGACCGACTGACATAGGTTTAGCTGTGAACGCGCCAGTCCGAGCTTCACCCCTAAACTCAGAGGTATAGCTGTGAACGCGCCAGTCCAAACTCCACCCCTGAACTCATAGGTATAGCTGTGAACGCGCCAGTCCAAACTCCACCCCTGAACTCATAGGTGTAGCTGTGAGCGCGCCAGTCCGAACTCCACCCCTGAACTCATAGGCACAGGCTGTGAACGCACCAGTCCGAACTCGACCCCTAAACACATAGGTACAGCTGTAAACGCGAAAGTTTGAACTCCATCCCCGAACTCATAGCTCCATGAACTGTCGTTACGATGTGAACAATCCTGTGAACTTACCGCTTTGGTCTAGGAACTGGGCGGTCTTGATGGCTCTGTTTTGCGATCGTCCACCGACCCACGAGAACCTCGCAACAGCAAATCAACGTAAGGCCAGCACGTCACACATGGATTGCAGTTGTATTGCGTGAAACTATCCACTGACACTACATATGGGAACGACGCGGACATAAGTGAGCAGAGGAACGGGGAACACGGTGCGACATTCAGAAGGCACTCTTTGCAGACTGGCCGCCCGCCAGCTGTCTGCACAATGGTCACAAAATAGCCGTGTGGCTTCGAGCCGTGGAATCCCATGACACGAGCTCACCAGGCAACAGGATGTCTCTGCCCAAATGGAATCTACTTGGGTCGCGCGTCCACTAAAAGCGCACCCAACAAGACGCCGTCGAGTCCTACGAGGTCAAGCACGGGCACCGAAGACCATAAGTTGTTGAGATATACATATCGAAATCCCGTTGTGAATGCACACAAAACAAAACGGTGAACCAAAACGCTAATCAAATTTGGACGAAGCAGATCACAAATTGAGATCACATTTATGATCATCATCTGTGATGATGATCATAATCATATTATGATCATGATCATCATCACAGCATTGTTTAACTCAAAGTACACGACCATAAACATGTCATGCCGGAGCAAATACACAAAAATGCACATAAAACATCGACGGAGATCGTAGCACAGTCGACTCGTGGTGGCGACTGCTTGGGGTTGAGTCAGGCGACCGGGCGGAGCCAGGCGCGGCCCCTAAGAAGAGGGCTCAGATGCCGGCACCGGCGCAGCGCCGCCAACGCCGCCACGCGAACCGCAGTGTGACGTCGCCCGAGCGAGGTCTGACGTCAGCGGCGGTCGGCGCTACGGGAGCGGACGCCGGCCGGCGACGCCCAGACGCGGTCAGCGGGGCCGAGCCGCGGGCCGACGGCGCGGCGCCGGCGCCGGGTCAGAGGCCGTGCCTGCCTGGGCCGAGGCCGGGGCCGAGGACGCGGCCGGCCGACACCGAGGGACACGGAACGTGGGCACACCGCATGCTGACACTGGAGCACAGAAGGGGGCGAGGGCCCGGGCGCCCTGTCGACGCTGACGGACGCGTTTAAACACTCGCCTCAACACCCGCGGCGCACACCGAACAGTTCACTGCGCCAGATGCGTCACAGCTCCCCCTGGCGTTTCAACGGTGCGGCGGAGACCCGGACGCAAGCCCATGAAGCCGTCCAACACCGGACGCTGCTACTCGCCTTGGACGGACGCGCTTAAAGTTAGCAAATGACTGTCGGTTGGGCGGCTAGCGAGCATCAGGAAGGTGCTCCTGACAGACCTGTCCAGGGTTTTGCGGGTACACGCTATCCAGCATGGGTCATAGGTTCAATGTGATAGTTGATGCCATTAGAGCCTGACCTCAACGCCCCCAGGGTTTCCGGCCAGGCACACAAGCCTAAGCTTCAGAACAATGGGCTCGCTGGTATCTGAGCTCACACCAAGCATATTATTGCATTAAAACGTAACGACTACGACCGCATAATGTTTCAAACCAAATGTCCGCGCACGACCCCGCCACTCGAAGCAGACATTACATTTATCGTCTACGTAGACACTTCCACGTAGGAACACTGTCCGGGGAGCGGTCACTTTGCACCGGTTACACGCGGAACGTGTCGCAACAACTATGACGCTTGAACGAGGACGGTGATCTACGTACTGACGCCGAGAATCCTCTGTAACCCACACACACAGCACTCACATCCGCTGGCCACATCTCTCCCGTCGCCAACAGTCACTCATCACCCTGACACCACACGCACTCGCGCGCTGCGCCCGGAGATCTCGGGACGTCGCGGCGCGAGAGTCCGTCCCCAACACTCTCGATGGCGATCTCTCGATCATCTGATCCAGCTCATCAGATGAAAGCGAACAAAAACGGACAAAGAAGTCCCGATCTTCGGCGGCTATTGAGAGCGCTGCGGATCCCCAGATCCACACAATCAGATTCAAACGACTAGATTCCGTTTATCAAGTCCAGATAGTCGGATCCACAGTGTCAGATCAAGACCATGCGAGACCGATCGTCGGATCCTCGCCACATATGATGCATCAGATCCTTACATGCATCGTCTCAGATCCAGATCTCCTCATGCTTTACGATCTGGATATCCTCGGCGGTGCTGAAGAAGGCGCTGGCGCTGCGGCGGACCGACTCGCTCAGCTCCAGACGGTCCAGCATCCGGTCCAGACTGCGGGCTGTCGGCAGCGGCGGCGGCGGCGGCGGCGGCGGCGGGGCGGGTGTGGCCGGCGGAGCGGGCGGGCCGGCCGGGGCGGGCGGCAGGGCGGGCGGGCCGGGCGGGGCGCAGTCGACGCCGCCCCCCGCCGCGTGCCCTCAGCTGGCGGCCGTGGCGGCGGCGGGCGCCAGCAGCGGCGTGCTGCCGTTCGCCGCCACGTCGCCGTCGGCGGCCGCCAGAGCCTTCACGTTCAGTGAGATGGAGGAGACCGGTGCCGAGTTGAGCTGCGTCAGCTGAGAGGTGGCCGTCGGGATCTGCCGTGTGCGCGCGAACCGCATGTTGCCCGTCCGTCCGGCTGAGTTCTGCAACGGCGGGGCGGAGTCAGCACGGTGGGTCAGGTCAAGCGTGAGGGTCAAGTTGGGTCGGAAAGGAGCGGCAGGTCAACTCAGGGTGGCGGGTCATGTCAGGCCGAAGCAGAGCACCATGTCAGGTCAGCGTGGCGGGTCGCGTTAGGTCAGGGTGGAGAATCAGCTCAGGTCAGGTTTGGACGGCCATGTCAGGTGAGGTTGGAGGATCCAGTCATGGTAGAGCGTAAGGTCAAGATGGAGTGTGAGCTCAGGTCAGGGTCAGGTCAGTCAGGTAAGCAGCGTTTGCCTTCGGGAGAGTCAGGTCGTGTGGGGCGCTGATCAGCATTCCCACTCAATGACACTCAACTGTTAAAGGTAAGTCAGTTATCATACAGCGCTTTCTTGTTCACTGGATAGCAAAAAGCAGAACGTTGGTGAATCGTTATCGTATCTTCTGGGCGAGTTACAGCCTTTTGAATACGCCGCTTGGAAGCAATTGGCTTATTCGCGCTTCACAGAATGTCGTTTGCAATTAAACAAGCACATGTTTCAAATTTCCATTCAATTTCCTATCAAGCCCGCATCGATGCAAAGCATTGATCACAAAAACTTTCTATGACAGCTAAGTGCGATAGGATTGATGAGACGCGCTATGAATTTACGGGTCACTCGGCTGCTCTGACGTATCGTCTATTAGCCCGACTGACAAGGCAGCAAATTTCTGGCTAAATTAGGCCCACGGAGCGTTGCCTACGGCTTGGCTAACGGACGGCTATTGGAAGAGCTCCCACGTGGCGGTGAGGGTTATACCCCGGTCGATTCCCTCCTGGACTGGCCGGCGCAAGCGTGCTGGCACCAGCACCGAGCGTGGGAGCCGTCGCAAGGCCGTCCGCCCCGCAGCAAAGGTCGGATTGGTCCGCTGCGCTCGTCAGCACCATGACAAATTACAACAACGCGTGGGCCGGTCCCCAGTCCGCCCCTCCCCCCCGAGCCACCACAGGGCGGGGAGGAGGCTCCGAAACCTCCAAAACGGCAAGAACGGCATTTCAGTCAAGACAAGGTCGGCGGCACGGTGCAGTGTCGTCACAGTGACGTCAGCGCGCCCTGTCCGACCCCGGCCGCGGCCGGCGGCGCACCGCCTGGGGAGAGGCGCGCGACACACGAGCGGCCGGTCGTCTCGCGCTTATGGTGATTGAGCGCGCCCGTTTCCCGCCTCCGACGTCTGTCCCTCATGGGCCCGAGCAAGCGGGCCTGTCTGGACTGGGCCAGATGGCCCGCATTACGACCGCCAGGGCAGGTCTGGCGCTCTCGCAGTGGCAACCACAGACAGCGGAGACACCCGGCACCGAACATCCAACGGTCTCAAATAAAATGCGGGGACCAAGTACGTGACAAATGTTCTACAAGCATAAATCGAAATGTTCTAAAAAGAGCTTTCATACTATGCTGGGCCATAGCAAAACAAAAAACAAAAACAAAATGAAACGGTAAATATGCGATCCCAAACGAAGTGGTAAAATGGGAACAACTATGCTTTTATGATATGTGAAGAAATACTGCTAGCAGACAAAACAAGAAAGGTACGAGGAACATGGCCGCCAACGCAGAGTGTACCGTTCTCGTCCTCATTGAAGGATATGTTCAGCTAAGATCCGCCACCATTCCAACTCACAAATAGTTTCACAGAGTTTTCAGGGACACCTATCAATACACAGGCTTATTTAATGTTATATGGCGGAAGGTGTAGGATTGGTCGTCCAACTGAGCTCTTTTTAACAAATATACATTAAACTATTTGCATCATCATAGCCCTTTTCACGCAAGTATTGTTGGATAGGGATGTCACCTGGTACCAAATATGAAGTGCCAAGAAATCGGATAAGCAGGAGAAATGCCCTGGTTTGTCGTCTCAGAGCTATCAAAATAGGCATAGCTTCCCACTCCGGAGGCCGTTTTGTGTCATTATTCTGTACCTACTCGTCATGTTACGTTTGCGGTACTTAATCCTCTGGTCCCATGGGAGCATATATAAAAACGTAGAGTGACGAATTGGCACATGATGACAGAACAAAACTCTTTCAGAATGAAACTTACCAGGTTTTTTGATTGGTCTGATGGAAGATGATAGATGCGAACTTTTGGTCTATTTTCTGTTAATTTTATAATTGAATGCTTGAGGAATTCGGCGGACCTAATAATGTACAAATAAAATAAACGCTAGCGCAAAAACTGGTACATGTTTAGCCATCACACTGCAGAAAGCACATTCTGGAGCATGTTATGGCAAGCGCAAACCCCATGCATGTCGTGTTTGACCCTATATTGGATATAAACCCGCTTACACAGAGGCATGGTCACTGCGCTGACACCACGCGGTTCCATTCCGTCAAAACAAACCGGATCAGCGTTTAGTCCCGTCGGCACAAACCGGACGGCGTTTAGTTCCGTCGGTACAAACTGGAAAACGTTTAGTTCTGTCGATACAAATCGGACAGCGTTTAGTTCCGTCGATACAAATCGCACAGTGTTTAGTTTCGCTGGTTCAAACCGGAAAACGTTTAGTTCCTGTCGATACAAATCGGACAGTGCTTAGTTCCGTCGATACAAACTGGAAAGCGTTAAGTTCCGTCGATACAAATCGCACAGCGTTTAGTTCCGTCGATTCAAACCGGAAAGCGTTTAGTTACGTCGATACGAATCGGACAGCGTTCAGTTCCGTCGGAGCAAATCAGACAACGAGTCCTGTCTGAGAGCCACCCGGGCGGTGACCGAGCTAATCGGACCCATCCCGCCACTTGATTGGTCACATGGCCGTATTTACCTGATTGGAGGCGCCGGTCTGCCGCACGTTCTTGTAGGGCTGGAAGATGACGATGTAGAGCTTGGGCGTGAAGAGGCAGAGCAGCGCCACCGTGGCGCTGATGGTGACGCAGATGCAGAGACTGGCCAGCTGAACCTGCCGGCAGCGATGGAGAGCGGCTGCACCCATGCTGAATAGAAGGACGACAGGCGACCAGCGGGGATAGCCGGCATGCACTCTGGCGACAGTGTCACACGTGCTCCGGGCGGTCCTTAGCCAGTGCGGCTGGTCTGATGTAATTAAAGGCATGTGTGTTGAACCAACACAAAAGTCAACCCTTACTTTCAGATCCATGTCAACATCAGTTGTATTGCTAGCCAGTGTAGTATGGAGAGAGACGGGATTTGTGATGCTGCTGTTCACACAACTTTTGTGGGATATGTAGTAGATGTTCGCAGGGAACGTGGTGCGTTTCCTGAACTTGAAACTATTCCCCGCGTTTGTTTTATGCCATGCGAGTCTCCGCCTGTTATGTATTCAATTTCACTGCGAGTTGTTTACGAATCCCAGGTTATTGCCCACAATAAATACAAATGAATGCAAGCGCTCCCTTCTGCCGCTGCGCCAGGTGTCAAGCCTAAAAGTAAGTGGTCCACAAAGCGCCCGCACACGCCCACCCAAGCGCAGCAAATAGCAGACGCGTAACTCACACCCCGACGTGCGCTGCCACGGTGTACGTCGCGCGCGTGACGCCGGTCCGCCTTCTTGGCGGCTAAACGGAGCACTAAATAACGAGGTGTCCTGCTAACGGTTATGGATGAACCCCGCGCACGTCCAATACCAATGTGCAAAGGACCGCACGCTTTGGGGCTGCTTTATGCTCAAAGGGAGTCTTGTTTGTCTTAAGTTCAGCACGACGTACGCTTTGCTACAATAGCGGGCATCAATTCGTTCTCCCGTGTGGAGTAGGCGGCACCCCACGCAAAGTGAAAAAGGAAAGCACGTGTCGGTAATCCTCCCGAAAATGCGAAGCGATCGCATCAAAGTGTACGAAGTCAGAATAACAGATCAACAAGTGAGACGAATGGTCAAATGAAATGCTGCCTGTCATTTCGTCAGCTTTTCCAGAGTTGTATTTTTCATCAAAACAAGTTGCCCTTTTCGTGTCAAATGTGTTGCCTCATATGCGCTCCAAGTCGGAGAGGATGCTTTTGCCGTTCGGTTATATTCTGGAGAAAGACGTTAAAAACGATTAAAGCTTTGAGATTTAATGGGCCTCAGCTTTCGGTAACTGATGACAAGCCGCGTACCACACGGAAGAATATTACCAAACAGTCTAATGATTCATTATCCTTCTGAGTGGTTGGCATGTTGTGAATTCCCAGGCCGCTTCGTTTCTTTGGACAGGCCATCCATTATCGCAGCTGCCGAGAAAAGCAAATTGCAAGCTTACTTAATGCTTAGAGACAGAAAGTCTGAGTTAAAGCTTCTCAAAAGCCCCGTGAAACATTTCGAAAGTGGAGAAAGGCCAAGCCGTAAATTATCATGCCGGAGAAAGATAAACGTAGAGCTAGAAACTTTAAGCGTGACAAATGTCCACTGTGTTCTTCACTTTCAATAGCGTAACTGGCATGAGCACCTGGTCCAATGCCTCAAATTTATCCAATTTTGGACCAAGTTGAGCCGGGGTACAGACACTTGCAAGAACGGATATGCGGACTGCAAGGATTCAAAAATGCAAGACATGGTAGCCGATCAGTGACATGGTCGACGTGTGTTCATGAGTCAACTGATTGGGTTCAGGTATGTGTCAGCTTCGAGCTGGGACGTGGACGGCTGCGCAGTGCTGTGAGTGGCATGTCCAGCCGCACAGATCGCCTTCCATCTTAGGGAGTCGCCATGAAAGAGAAATCAGAATAAAGGCAATGTTATCGTGATTCAGGCTTGAGCTGTGTGCTAGTTGTAAATGACCAAGTGTTTTAAATCAGAATATTTCAGCTCAAACCCTTTATGATCAAAGAATTCGCATTACAAAAATGAACGTAAAACCAGCGTCGTCTGCAGCATAAAGGTCGTCTCACCGACAGACTTTGGCTCTAGTTTTGGCACTCAACAAACTCGAAAACCAGCTGTTTCCGATCAAAGAAGCACTACAAAGTGTTTACCATCCGCACATAATGCTTTCTTCTCGACGGAGAGGAAGGCCCGAACCTGATTACATTCACGACTTCAAAAGGAACGAGCACAGTCACGCTCCTATGCAGCGGAATCGAATAGGCAGGATCCACCTAAAATACATCAACACAACGCATTAACTTCACCCACATTCTCTGCGCTTCCATCGACCGACGGCCCTATTCAACAGCTATTCCAGTCGGACGGGGGCACAGTGGATGGATGCATTAGACTCTGACGGGCCAGGCCAAGTTTGGGAGCCAGTTGAACTGGCCAATAACTTGGGGCGCACTTCAGGCCCGATCGACACCGACGCTGTGCGCCAGCAGGGGGGCGCTTGCTGTCCAGCCGACTCAACTTGGCCGCCAACTTCCCGAAAGGCTGCCCTCTCGCCGCCGAGCTGTTCAAGGAAGCGCCATCTGGCACTGGCGCGCGTTTTTCGCTTATCTGAGTCGGCAGGCGAAATGTCGACTTTGAACAAAGCGGTCGAGGGCTGGTAAGTTATACCGACGTCATCTGCAGTGTGAAGTTGCCATGCATTAGTTAGAATGTGCACACATTGTGACTCGGACATCAAAGCAAGCAAAAGTATTCGGTGTTTTTTGCGGAACATCTCACATAGGGGTGGTACGCTGACAGTTCAAACATCTCATTAGGCTCGTCGAGGTTTTGCATTCTGAGGTGGGAGAGATTCGTGCCATGCCTCTGCTTATCCTGTCATCCGATCGCATCCTTTTCCTTCAGAAGCGGACGAAATTTAGAAATATGGGAAAAGAATGGAGGCGTTCTTTCAACACGTTTAGGCCACTTTCCACAATTATTATCTAGCTTTTTACATCGTAACGCCGTACTAGACAAAGCTCCATAAAATTAGCCCATACCGTTTGCCAAAATGTGCGCAAGTTGACATCAGTAACAAAGCTACTTTGTTAACGAACAGGTGGCACACTGGGTCTGGTTTCTATGTTATGGTACTGTGTTTAAGGCTCATATAGTGAGCCAATGGGCTGGGTGCCGGGGTTTTCCATGCTTGCATTATTCACTGGACGCGTTTCGTTTATAGCTTATGGTTTGGACTGTACTGTTCTTGGGACATGCATTTGCCAGCAAGGGTGGACTTGCTTTCTGTCTTAAATTTACGACAAAGGTACCATTGCCGTCCATAGCCCTACCATAAGCGTCTCCTTTTCAACGTCGGCTGTACAGCTTTTTAACTTGCCTATTTCAGCCAGTCCCTCCTGGCGTATTTCACGTGATCTATAATTAGTGTCGCTTAGTAACAACAAGTGACAGTCATCTACGAGTAATAGTCTGAAAGAAACCGTAAAAATATAAGCCAATTATGATCCTGAGACAGCATACCACACTGCCCATTTGTTGATATAATTTTGCAAAACGAGACCTTTGTCGTCATACCGGGCTATGGAAAGTGCTGGCTATCATTCTTTTTTTTTGGTGTCAGTGATGCTGGAGGAACAAACAGTAGCTTTCAGCATTCCCGAATCACATTAACAAAATCGCGTTCAGCACTGCGTCGTATGCTCCCAACCATCTGATCGGTCACAGGTCAGGAATGAAACACAGACTGAGGTGGGCGAGGCCCAGCTGGATCCAGTCGTATCACAGCAGGACCCACAGCCTTCTCACCGGTGGCGCTGCCCTCACCTTGCACCCGGATCCAGCCATATCACAGCAGGACCCACAGCCTTCTCACCGGTGGCGCTGCCCTCACCTCGCACCCGGATCCAGCCGTATCACAGCAGGACCCACAGCCTTCTCACCGGTGGCGCTGCCCTCACCTCGCACCCGGATCCAGCCGTATCACAGCAGGACCCACAGCCTTCTCACCGGTGGCGCTGCCTCACCTCGCCCGGATCCAGCCGTATCACAGCAGGACCACAGCCTTCTCACCGGTGGCGCTGCCCTCACCTTGGCCCGGATCCAGCCGTATCACAGCAGGACCCACAGCCTTCTCACCGGTGGCGCTGCCCTCACCTTGCGCCCGGATCCAGCCGTATCACAGCAGGACCCACAGCCTTCTCACCGGTGGCGCTGCCCTCACCTTGCGCCCGGATCCAGTCATATCACAGCAGGACCCACAGCCTTCTCACCGGTGGCGCTGCCCTCACCTTGCGCCCGGATCCAGTCATATCACAGCAGGACCCACAGCCTTCTCACCGGTGGCGCTGCCCTCACCTTGCACCCGGATCCAGCCGTATCACAGCAGGACCCACACTTCTCACCGGTGGCGCTGCCCTCACCTTGCCCGGATCCAGCCGTATCACAGCAGGACCCACCTTCTCACCGGTGGCGCTGCCCTCACCTTGCGCCCGGTCCGGATCCAGCCATATCACAGCAGGGGCCACAGCCTTCTCACCGGTGCCACCGCCCTCACCTTGCACCCGGATCCAGCCGTATCACAGCAGGGACCACAGCCTTCTCACTGGCGCCACCGCCGTCACCTTGCACCCGGACCCAGCCATATCACAGCAGGACCCACAACCTTCTCACCGGTGGCGCTGCCCTCACCCTGCACCCGGATCCAGCAGTATCACAGCAGGACCCACAGCCTTCTCACCGCTGCTACCGTCCTCACCTTGTACTCGTTGTGCGTTGTAAAGTAGATGGGCACAAACGCCAGCCACACGATACACGTGCTGTACATGGTGAAGCCGATGTACTTGGCCTCGTTGAAGTTCTCCGGGATCTTGCGCGTCTTGAAGGCGTACCAGGTACAGAGCACGATCATGACCATGTTGTAGCCGAGTGAGACGACCTGCGAGAGGCTGCTGATGCCGCAGGTCAGCACGGCCGTTCGACGGTTCGGGTACACTTCCTTGGTGGACGGGCGCTCCAGGATCAGCCAGACGATTATGCCGATCAGCTGAATGGACACCATACCTGAGAACGGTGACGGCCAGACCTGAGAACGGTGGCGGCCAGACCTGAGAACGGTGGCGACGGTGCTGCAGGCAAGCTGGTTGCAAACAAAAGACACCCCTGACCAAGGTTGTGCATGTTGGTGGAGATGCGTCCGCGGACACCAGTAAGCAACCTTTCTTTGGGATGTGGCTTCACTTTTGCAACGTGGCTGACACGCTTGATCTATTCCGCCGACGGGCCGGAAAGCCACGAGCACAGCGCCGACTGCGCCAACGTAGGTCAAATCCCTGACTAGGTCACTTACCGAAGCAGATGGCAATCTGCGAGCGTGGAGAGGTGTACGAAGGCCGTTTTATGCTTTTCATCCCCATGTTGAAAATTCGAGATATTCTGCAGGCGGAAGTTCCGAGAAACTGAGTCAACTTAAGGTCTCAGTCATATGGATCACATGTCAATTATATCGATTTGCGCATGTTGGACACCGGACAATGCACAAAAGCCAGATATGTCGGAATGCACCATGTCGGATACGAACAATCAATCCTCCTGGTTTTACTCCGAGGAATATGGCTATTATCGCTGTCTTATCTACGTGAATAATGTTCCTAGCAAAAGCACTTAACTTACGCAATGCGCAGTGCATCAAATCCGAAATGCATCTTGAGGTCAGCAATGTGAGGTTTCTTTTTACTTACTGCACGCTATGCACGCATAAGTTTTGAAATTAGCACAGGTAACGAGCCTGGGGAGGTCACACAAAATATAAGACCAAAATTTGAAATTGAGCACCCAATTTCTGCCAGAAGTGCTCATCTGAGCCCTATGCAATCGCTGTCGCCTGGCTGCTTGAAATGTGACCGGTTCAGCGCGAGTTAGCGCAACCGATACGGTCTCGTCAATGTGGATGGACACCGTTTGAAGACCACTGACACTAACTATGTTATATTGTGAGATCCTTCTGCGGTCAGAAGGAAATTAGATTCATTTATTATCATAACGGGTCCGTTGTGCTAGCGTTACAAGAGGCCAACCGAAACCAGGCTGCCAGATGAGAAGCCAGAGTTTTCGTAAGTGGTGCTCATTTAGATCTAAGCGAGATAGAATAATTAGTGTTAAAATAGCAGAACCCATTTTCTCCGGCAGCCCACTTCTCAACTCTACAAACTTTCTTCATCAAGGAGAATGTTTTTTAGACCCAAAGGAATCACGACGAAACGAGCCAAAATGGGATACGGTTACGCATCTGCATATTGGGAAGTATTACACGTAAATTCCACATCACCTTTAACATCCTGTCCATGGAAACCACGTGACAATACCATGCAAAACTTAACAACCAGCCGATCTCTCTACATAGCACCAATGCCGATAAAAACGTTGCACACGAGAAATGACACCGTGGATCCACTTGCTTATTCACACCACTGACAAGCAGGGCCACCCAAGCCTTACTGGACCACCAGCATGACAGCCCAGTCGTGGGCGGCGCACCTGTTGGTCTTGGTGAGCAGAGCGCTGTAGCAGATGTTGAGGCAGAGCCCGAGTCCGATGCGGAGCAGCGTGCAGGACACCACCGTCGGCTTCATCAGGATGATGAACGTCATGGCGTAGCAGACGACGATGCCGCAGAGCAGGACGTAGCACAGCTCGCGGCCGGACGCCTTGATGACGGGCGTGTTGTTGAAGCGCAGGAACACGGCGATGGTGCACAGCGTGACGACGATGCCCAGGCTGCTGAATACGACGGGCACAATGGCCCAGCCGGAGCTCCAGACCATGTACTCGGCCGTCAGCCGGTAGCAGGAGCGGTAGTCCTCGGTCGGCAGGAAGCCCATCGGACACTCGACGCACGTGTCGTTGTCGATCCGGTCGCCCTCCGGGCACTTGACGCAGCTCCAGCAGCAGGCATCCTGCCGGAAACGGCCATTTCCGGTCATCGCGGTTCCGCTGGTGACGCGCTCAGGCGGCCTGTGCTGTGTGCTTCCCCCATCCAGTGCGGACGAATATGCATGACGCGGAACAGCAATCGGTTTGAGGCGAGCGGGCGGCGAGCTCGACTTGCTGACGTTATTTCTGTTTTCGTTCGGCTCGGAGCGCCCTGAGCCCATCGAAATCGGGTTGTCTGCGCTAGCAGTAAGTCTTTGATCGAAGGGTAATCATTGATAACAGAAGTTCCTGATTTTATTTTCGCCTCGAAGCCGCAGGAACATGTATCGCTTTGTAGCAGAACGTCTGAATAATTGATATCCAATAACCGTCCATCTGAGCTGTCAAAAACGGCGATGCATCATAGCGCAGTCTTACGTGCAGAATATGGTGCCTGTGGAACCAGCCGACGGTTTCTAACCCAGACTGTGAAAAGGTTTGAACAGCACGGCACAAATTTCCAAATAAAAGTATCCAAGTAAGCGTATCCAAATTAATGTCATACATGATTTGTGTGATAACATGCCACCTGACTACTCACGATGATTTTTATCGTTACACACAAGTTACAATTTTATACCGATTGCAAGCTACACTAAGATTTGCAAATGGTTACAGCGAGTTGTAAACTCCGTGCATAAGGTCAGATTCAGATCTGACATTCATGTTGAAATGGCTTGGCATAACCTCAACTCAGCAAAATTCCACATGATCTCACCTCGAAAAACAAGCCACGTAACATCCGACCGTTTCTCAAGTGATCTGATTTAGTTCAGGAAACCGCCCTGACTCCGATAACAGTCAGTCTCTGAACATCTGCATAGACGCATGCTGCAACTCAACATCCGCAGTCTAGCGGTGTTTCCACTCACTTGATAGTTTCGGATCTTGCCCAAAGGGCACGGCGTGCTGCAGATGGAGGAGGGAGTCGTGTTCGTGTCTCCGCGCCACTTCATCTTGCTCGTGCTCAAGTTGTTCAGACTGGAGGCGGATTGGATGGCCGGGTAGAGCGCGGCCGGCACACGAGCCATCGCGACCGTGATAGGGGCCGCGTTGTAGCGTTTACAACGATGCTGAATGCCAGAGTACATTGTTGGGTTGAAAGCAGTTTTAATCTAATTTTGCACTGCAGTGAACATTCCTGTGACAATGAGCCAGCGCGATTCAAAGCGCTAATGGTGGCATCGACAGTGTAGTGGTTACAGAACAGAGCATGTTCTGCAGCGGAATATATTGAAGCAAGTAGCAGATGTGATGAAACAGGCTCACTTATAACTGTTGTTATATTTTGAAGCGGGAAAAGACTGCCGCAGACAGCACGCTTCCTCTGCTCAGTAAATATGCTCCACAATCATCATTGTTTGATTACGTTATTCTACCTTGCACAAGCTTGATTGAGAGGCAATTGACGGCCGTCATATCTGGAAACCATGATCACGAACGACAGACATAAACGACTCGAGAATTGTGTTTTTGTTGACCTTCATCGCCGCATGGCTAATGGAATAGCAGGATTTGAATGGCGTTGGTATGGCGCCATGAATGTCTGAAGGGCTTTAGATTGGCCCCCGAAAAAGTATGCACATGCTAACGGGCATACACCTCAGCAATTAAAGAGTTTAGGATCTTAAGAAGGTAGTCGTGCGTCTGGGAAACCAGATGTATGGGGCTCGATTCCCGCGGTGCCCAACCTTCCTGCCGCGGTGAGAGGCAGGCGACGTCGTATGGCACTCGACAGATGAGTGCGTCGCTAAGCACGCACACACGCACACAAGCCGGTGACATGCCGATCGGAAAATATCGTTGGCGTCCAGATCTGAAGAACTTTGATGGGATATTCAGCACGAACCCTATGAAGTCCCATCACATTTAAACTATGCATGTAACACATCAGCAGCTCAGCGACATAACAACGGCGCTCTCTCCCACCCTCCTCCGCCCCACCGTATCACCCGTTCCACATCGTCAGCGGGTGGCAAAACGCGCACGCTGGCAAACAAGCGGCGACACGCGCCGGGCCGACCATGACCGCGGCCGGCCAGCGCCCGATGCCTCCGGCGCCGCCCTGACCCGGCCCAGTCGGGTCGGTCGCCCCCAGACAGCGGCCGGAAGGCGGCTGGCACCCGTCGCGGGGCGGGTGGCTGCGGCCTGTCAGCACAGACGCCGTCACGCCGCACCCCTGACAGCGCGCCGCCACGACATACGGGGTGATAGGTCATATGTCGAGCGGCTGAAATGTCGCGCTCTGTTGTCCGCTGATGGGACGTTTCGAGGATGTGCGGAATGTGGATCGCGGTGCGTCGTGCCAACCGCTTTGGCGGTGCTGGCGGGGATGCTGGAGAAGGTCTCGAAGACAGATAAATCAGTAAATACATCATACAACGTCCCTTGGCCGCCTCACGTACGCATCGACATTCATGACTTCGATGTTGTTAAAATGATAAATGGTAATGATTTTTGTTCTGTTTTGTTTTTGAACGGCACAAAGAACCGATGTCCAACGTCCTTGTTAAGCTATTTGTGCCACTTAAAAATTTGAGATTTAAAAACTTTCACCTTTAAGATATCCCAAACATACTTTCACGTAGACTAACACGGGGTTTTAGCATCACGGATGGAATAATCGTGCGGACTGTCGGGACCTTGTCTGTCGCATTAGTAATACACGACGCTTCTGGCGGCTAACTCCTCAGCGGTTTCCAGGTGATATGGAGTCCTGAGAGCGACTGGATGACGTTTTAATTTCAGTCACATGCACGTCAAAACCCGGTTTTTCTCTTGGGATCTATTGGGATTCGAACTGAGTCTTCTGATAACAGAACAACACTCTGCGAACTGTGCTATCCGAGAAGTACAAGAGAACCTGACATCTTGATCACCTGTCTCCATAACACCTGATGACGGCGGGAGAATGAACTGGCCGAAACGTTGTACACATGATAGCACAACAGACGAGGACGGTAGTCCAACCAACAATTCCATTGATCTTTTCTATACTATCTTCGATTATCCGTTGGTTAGCACCGGGCGGCTGTCGGGGCTCTCAGCCGTGCCACAATATTCCAGTGCACGAGTAAGGTACATGAAGCAGTTCGGGCCTCCCACATTGGCTGAATGCTAACTAAATGGCATTGCAGGGCATTGCAAGACTGGCCCTTTTCCAGCATAGCAAGCATGTTATCGTGAGGATTACCGGGGCTGGATTGCGACTCACAATGAATACTTCAGGCGGTAAAGCGGTTGTGTGACAATTTTCCTCGCCTCATTTTTCACGCAACGGCCTCGTTGGTGCCCAGCCGACTTCGACAATGGGTTACGGCATCCTGCAAAACCATCAGAACATGGTACTAGTGGTAATGACCGATCCCGCAACGACATTATGCCTTGGGTGTTATCTAGCTGTTACGGTACGTGGATTGTGGACCACAGGAGAGAACGACGGGAGCTTTCTTTTGAAAGTCTGCCGCTGTCAGCATGTTCGTATATGCATCTGGTGCTCTGGTCACCACACCGTCAGCGCCATGCGCCGTTATTGTCTCCTGTCAGTACTCACCTTTCGACCCATTCACCGATTTGGTAGTATTCGTACTTCCCATCCCTCTTCTGGAACTGGTAGATGTTGTAGAAGCCAGTCGCGTCACCGTTTTCGTCGAAACGAACTTGTCGTTTCTGCTTACCTGAGGACACGGTACAAACAATGCAAACGACCCCCAAAAGCTCTGTCATCTCGCTATCGCAAGCTGGCCATCGACACTCTCTAAAAATGAAACGCGATAACACTCGAGTCTGAAGCTCCACATCCCGAAGTCGTTCGGGTACTTCTCTCGGCAGGAGCCATGACGGTGACCCCTTGCCCTCTCCCAATACAACTGCTCCCGCTGGCGCTTCTCAGCGTCTGGGGAGCACCAGCGGGTCCGCTGTGTGCCGTAATTGAGCGTCTGCCTCCGATACCGGCCGCGTTCGATCTGTCGTCAGCACGTCTGTCAGCACTAATCACAGCCCAGTATTCGCCGTACGACTACAAAGTCACGTGCCCTGTTACGCCACGCGCCAGCTGACGATGATACCAGGATTTTTTGGCTGTGCTCGATCTATCGTCAGCACGTTTGAAGGCATCAATCACAGCCCAGCATCCGCCCTACGTCACGTCACGTGACCACAGTCACATGGCCTGTTACGCCGCGCGCCGGCTGACGATGATGCCAGGACTTTTTATCAGCTCGTCAGCACGAAGAAGTCTATGTCTATGTTTTGTCTATTGTCTTGTCTATGTCAAGTCTATGTCAAGCGCTACCAGATTAAGGAATCACTCTGAAGCGGGAGTTTGATTTGGCAGCCCTTGCATTGACGATTACGTTAGGTGGGATCGGGCACTTGGCTCTAATTTTGGGGGAAAAGCGACGTGAGGTAGATAAGGAGGGAATCCAAGTGCCAAGAGAAGCAATGAAAAGGTGAGTGACGGTGGTTGGCGTGGTGTAGGGTTGCGTTACCCAGTAAATTAATAGCGTTATAAGTTAACACTTAAAATGAGGGGTAAGAAATTGAAATGAATTGGAAATAGGCAGAAGCACTCCACATACAGATGGGATAGATGATGGTAATATCGGAGTAGAAGCCACACTTCCCGACACCCCTTTGCAAGCAGTGTCCAGGCGGTAAGCCAGAGTTGGTGTGTGGTCTGAAGCAAAAGGTAAAGAGAGATTGGAAAGTGAAGTTAAAAGCTTTCCCGTCAGCCCACACATCGCACGCATCGTCAGCACGCATGACGTCACACATTCCAGCTGAAAATCGTGCTGACGACGGATCGAACGTGGCCAACGAAAACTGATAACCGATGATCAAGATGTCTATGTGAGACGCCCAGCCGCCAAGTGCCATCACATATCCACCCAACGGCAGTCGGCAGGGCCGATCAATGCCCCGTCATCGGACGGGGGCGGGCGGCAGCATATTTGCTCTCGGCGACGGCGGCCGGACCAATGCCCGCCGGAGGCGGCGGCGGCGGGACCTCGGCGGCCGGCCGGGTCCCGCCGCGTGCCACCGCCGGCCCGCTGGCGCTCCCCGGGGACCCGCGCAGCTGGCCCCGCACTGAATGGGATGCAGTCGTCGCGCCGCGGTTGATCTGGGGCAGGTCGGGCGGGAAGGAGGGAGGGCGGTGGCGGGAAGGGCGCCATAAAAGGTCGGGAGGGTCGGCCGCGGGCGACCGGCGGATTGAGTTTGACTGGGGGATCGTCGTGGTCCGGGCGAATGGTCCAGTAAAGAACATGAGCAGGGCTATCGGGCGCGCTAGCACGCATGACAGCGTCGCGTACAGACGATTTGGCGGATAATCAAATAAATATAGGCGGCATTTATCTGACACTCACAGAGCAGAATCGGGCGGGCTATCCAGTACGACACATAACAGCATGGCATGAGACGGATTCGGAAGACCGTCGAACAAAACTAGGCTGCGTTTTAGCCCATCCCTCAGGGCCTGAGGAAGTGCTAGCGACTTCAGGGCCGTTTGCGTCGCGCATTATTCATAATGGTGCAATGCATCTTTGACATTTTCTGGCGACTACCGACATTACATTCATTTATCAACGCACCGCATTTGAATATTTCACGCCTCTCCAACGCCTCGCGCGCGTTTCAATCAGGAGAGTCAAAATCTGCTACCTCCCCCGGGACGATCGCACCTGACTGATCGCCATCCACTCACCGATGAAGGAAACGTTACGGATGTACTGGAGCAGCTCCTGGCCGGCTGGCACCGGCCGCAGCTCGTCGCAGAGGCGGATCGAGCCGCACTTCGCCAGGATCATGTTGTGCAGCGCGTGGGCCAGCGCGTACACGGCGTCCACTGGCGACAGAGCGGGCGTCAGCGGCGGCAGCACGCACAGACGTCGGTGATACCAGGACTGGTGTCAGCGGCGGCAGGACGGGCATCAGTGGGACAGGATGGGCGTCATGATGACAAGGCAGGCGTCAGAATGACAAAACGGATGTCAGGGGCGGCAAAGCAGACGCCAGGGGTGGCCGCACAGGTTTCGGACATCGCAGAGCAGGCGTCAGGGGACAGGACAAGTGTCAAGGGCCGGACAGGCGTCAGGAGGACAAGATGAGCATCAGGCGGGCAGATGTTGCGGGGCCCAATGAAGACGTCCGGCGGGAAGGAAATGTGTCAGAAAAGGCAGGACGTTTGTCAGGGGCCACAAGTCCGGTGTCAAGACCGGCCTTGCTGATATTGGAGAGCAGGATAGCGTCAAGAAAGACGGCAGGGGCGGGTTAGACACCAAGCGATAGGGCAGATGCCGGGAAAAACACGACAGGCGTCATGGTCAGGACAAAATCCTCACTTTAGCGAGGTTCCAGCACCTAAGCCAAGAAAGGATCCATTGACGAAAACTTGAGATCTAAGTTCTAAGGAGAGTGCTCCACATTCGTATGTGGTTTTGATTTAATAATATCTGATGCTAGCTTCAATATTTTCACTCCACATTCGTGTGTGGCTTTGATTTCATCATATCTGATGCTTACTTCAATATTTTCTACACGGAAAATTCCCATAAAGCCAGTTTTCAGGCATCGGCGCGCCGCCTCAAACGTTGTGGTGATCCTGGGACCCCAAGGACCCATGTCAGCACCAATGCCACAGGACCTGTTTAAAATGATTATCTTGACCTTCCAACATTCAGATATTGGATACCGTTCGGCATTCTCATTTGAAAAGGAGATTCCGTTCATAATTACAAGTGTGACAAGCTTTTGTCTTCCAGTTTACGGATGGATTGAGACGATATATCAGTGCCACGGATGGAATAATTGCTCGGACTACCGTGCTCGTCAGGTGGGTTAGCGTAGTTTACACACTAGACAAGGACGATAATCCGAACAATAATTTCATCCGTGCTGACTTTATATTGCATACTTGGCGACGAAACAAGCTATCGCTTACTGCACGCCAGCGGAAAAATCGTACTTAGAGCTGTTTCAAAGGTCCGAACCGGGAACAAATATGCCGGTATTCATTCATTCATTCAAGAGCGCAGCTGGCTGACACCTGCAAATCAGATGTCGATGTATCCTGTCCAAATGATCCGAAACCGCGGAATAGCCCGTTGAGTGGTTTATCTTGTCATCCGTCTCCAAGTGCACCCAAGATAAGCCATCGCAGATGTTGCTCCACGATAAACAGCGGCTTTGTTTAAGTAGTTAAACGTTCACCGAACAAAAGATTCATTTGGTCTTTGGTCCAACGCGAAATGCGAAATACAAAGCATTAAAATGCTTCTTAGATACGCATGCAAATATGTTATGAGTCACGTGCCACAAGTATTTTTATTTCTGCCGCGCGAAAATTCCGATTTTATTTGCTCTCGCCATCGGGTACACGTACCATGCCATTTAACATGGCATCCAGCCAACATTCCATTCGCAGTGATGGTGATTGTCGAACGAAGCTTTCGTGGCTTATTCATGCCAGGTGAGAGCTCGCAAGCCAATCCAGTCATAAAGCATTGCAAATCGGTTGCCGAGAATCTGTTCCACTCAAGTGTGCTCTCAGGATTGTAAACCATCAATGGATGCTTGTGGAGAAGCGAGAACAGCCAGAGCAACGAGATGACGAGATACCTCCCCAGGCTTTGTTGCTTGTCAACACAAGGCCTCAACCAGTGCCGTCTTCCTTTCCTACCCGTTATTTCGCACGATCCCGGCTATTTTGACTCTGCTCACGATTGCCGCCGTATTACCCCATTTATCCTTCGGGCCGCCTTTCCCAGCTCGAGCTTCCCCAGCCCGCCCGCCCCCACTCCGCTCGTATCAACAACGCACGTCGGGTCGCCGTCGTTATCAGCGCATCAGAAGCCGCGCCGCGCGGCGCCGGCAATTTGCAAAACAATCCGCCGCGGACGCCGCGGCTTCAGTGTCCCGGCGGCGTGGCTGAGCCGGCGCGCTGGCACCCATCGGCGGCGTCGGCGGGCGCGGTCGGCAGCTCGCCCTGCTGATGACCGACAAATGGCGACGATACGTTAGCGCGCGGAATTGCACCGAAGCCCAGACAGCTCATTTATAGGAGTTAATATTAGACGAGATTAGCATGGCGCGTGCCGCGGCCGGCGTCTCGGCGGTGGGGGCCGGGCGTGTTGTTGTGCTCGTCCGCCGGCTGCTGCGCTGACTGCTGCGACAGCGCGTTTCGAGCCACGCCGCCGCTAATTTCCGCTCACGCGTCAGGATTTTCGTCCTGATGCGCGGCAGCAGGGAGAGAGGCGCACTGCCTGGAGGTGCCGTAGAGGTTCACGCGCGCGCCTGGGCTCGTGGCTGCGGCGAGTGCATGCAGCGGATTGAGAGGTACAATTTACAGCCGTTGTTGCTCGTGTCATGGTGCTATTCACGATCAACTGGAGCAGAACAAGTCTTGAATGTTTTGATGCGGCTCGTTTAACTGCGCTGCTAAACAGGGTCGTCATAACAGATACAGATGCTTGTAACGGCTACATCTCCATCGTTAAGACCGTTTGAAACGTTTCAGATACTACAGAAGGCGATTATTGCAGATTAATGGGGCGTGCATATGGCCATATAACTTCTCGGAATTATTCGTAATACGAGGAAAACAGATGCCTTCTGAGCCGACGCAAGCAACATTTATGGTCTCAGCATGTAAGCCTGAAGTTTGGAGTAGAAACACGACATGGAATTAATCTAAATAACTGGTTGTCACGATGGTTAACAGATTGCGTATACATATTCATCATCCATGTCCACTGACCTGAGCTAAACTTTTCTAGGATCTTTGTGCTGAATGTGCAGATATACTGGCCAAAGGAAGGGTCCATCCTACCAATAACAGCACAGATAGTAGAACTAGAAGCCGAATAACCCAGCATCGTGTACACTTGTACGTCGCACTGTCGAAAATTGAGAGCAAACGCAATCTACGTTAGTTTTGCTGTAACGTATCCACTGTGCATATTTAGCTCGGTGAGTATGAACGTCAGCGTCATGAAAGAACACCCACAATTTTTCTCTCCAAAACGCTTGAACTGCTGTGTACACGAAATAGCCCCTGAGATTTCCCCGAAATCAGATGCCGTACAACATGCAATACCAAATTGGAATACTTCCATATACGCAACTTAATTTACCCATTAGAACTCTCTGAGAAAGCATGATATCAACACCCTGATTTGAAAATAAAGGAGATCAAGGTAGTATGTTAAGGTTGTACCTTTTCCAGTTATAATTTTCAAAGCTATTATATCATCCCATGAACAGTCACGGAGGCGAATAAGCATGGTGCCAACGATGATGGGATAAAGCAAATATTTCCACAACTGCAAAAAAATCATAACGACGTGCGGATATTCACAAGTTGTCGCTAAAAAGCCACTAAATCTGACCGGATCTGATGGAAGTGAGTCACTAGACGCGACACACGCACTCCTCTCACCTACAAACGGCACGAGCCCCTCCTGCTTGTACTTGGTGAGTTCCTCGCGGCCGCTGCACCTGTTGCCAGCTCTGTCCGTCTTGTCGAAGGTGCAGTTGAAAAGCTGGCTCCAGAACTCGCGGAACCAGACGTTGCGGCAGTTGATGTTGTTGATGTTGTTGTTCATGATGTTGCGCTTGCGCGACTTGCCGGACCTGCAGTCCCCGGGGCGCACCCAAGGCCGCAGCAGCTTGAAGTACTCGTCGAACCCTGCCAACCGACGCAGGCATCAGTGCCGACCGGTGCAGAGAAGGCCACTAGTGCGCGTGGGGCGGGGGTACATGGCCGTGCTCCGCGATGCATGGAGACAGTTGTCATTTGCTAATTGCTGTCTGCTTGCCGCAGTTTAGCGTGGCCGGTTTTATTCCATCCAACAATACGAAGATAGCTCTGCCGGTAGCTGTGTAATGGTCACAGCTGAAATCAAGCGGTGCCCACTGAACTTTATGCTGGACTTCTAAACCAGCTTAGGATTGGGTAATCCGTTCTACTTCTTAATTATGAGATAGGTCTTTTCGTGTGCACGAGCGACAAGTTCAATACCACACCTTTCTAGACACACGGAAAGACAATTTATTTGCTAAAGTATTAGCTTTCTTTGCTCTGAGACGATTGGGAGCTGAATTTCTTGTTCACTTACGATAAAAAGACGCTGTGTTCTCTCAAGCAATCGACCCGGATGCTTAGTTATAATCACATCATTGGTGCTCCACTGGTACCTATAGACCAAGGCAGTCACAATAAATACAACTGCGCCGCCTTCGACGCAGTGGCTTCTTTCGGGTACGCCATGCTAAGGAGCGTTCTTTCCTGCGGTCATGACGACCTCTTTCACTGCTTTGACTTGGCGCAGTGACCGGTGCACGTCATGACCATCCACACCGCGCGGTCTGCTCTGAGGCAGTGACGGATGCGGTCTTGAGGAAAAAAGACGCATGCACACATGGCTGTGGCGCTCTCGATGTGCGGTGTGGATACAGTGGTCAAAATACGCGGCGAACACTGTAATCGTGTTAGTTGTAGCGAAGGGATGCTCTCTCATATGTTTCCTACCCCTACAGATGGGCTTATTGACTCGGTCTGGAATGCGAGCCGTAAAATGCCGAGGGCATGGCATCGGGAAACTATGCTTGCACGCGTATTCAATTCAGCGGCCTCGTGTTCTGGATGTTGAGCACCGTCGATATCATCACTCACCATATCTTTGTGTTCAGATTTCCCATATTTTTTCAACCTTTAGGGTACGTAAGGTCGGAACTCAAGGAAGACCCAAAAACCTTTCAGTCAAGTCACGTTTGCTACAACGCTTAGAAAGACAGTTGATCACATCCGCGCAACGATGGCTGAAATAGCTCATCACCATTGAGCTGTTTGAAGCGATCGTCGATTGAACAGCAGCCTACATCGCGAGAGGCTATTGACAAGAACGCCACTCATGCATGACAGCACTTCATACGTCACGTGGAGTGTAATCGCAATTACGTTCAAATTTCGAATCAACTCTCGGCGTAAGAGAAACGTAGACTTCCGGCCGCGTAAGACCATAAATTTCGTCCCACCCCAACGACATGGGGCCCACTAATTGCCAACCGTGGCCGTGAGTAAAGTTATGCAAGGATTGCTAAAAAGGAACGCATTGTCTGCAGACCAGAAACTCCGTAACTTAATAATTGCTGGCTGGCATCGAAGCACGGCTAATTTGTTCGGACATGCCCAACTGACGTTATCTGCCATTAACACGCAATGTAAAGAAAATAAACAAATAGTTCCTCAAAATACCAAAGCACTAAACACAAAACGCTGAAATCACAGCATGCATGACACGAGACAGAAAATGCAGCACCCCGCTACTTGGGCACTTTGAGCCATACGCGCAGGACAAACAACCCGACCGAAAACTGTAACGATGTCACATTCCCTGAACTTCCAAAGCAAGAGAGCACCCGGTACAATAAATAGCAGCCTCGACACTGCTTTCTGTGAACAAAACTCGTCAGATATTCCAACTAAATACCGTCGAGAACACTAATTCCTTCGCCCCCCCCCACCCTTCACTCCCCCCCCCCCTTCTAACCTGCCGACGTCAGCCAACCGACTTCGTGCATACCACCACATTCGCGAGCGCTCCCCCCCCCCCCCCCTCCGTCCACTGACCGGGGACAGTCGTGCGCTGCGGCAGGATGGTGATGGCGCCCTCGGCCACGTGCTCCTGGTTCCTCACGGGGTGTACCTTGGCGCCCCAGGAGTCACTGGCCACCCAGAGGAAGCGGTCGGTGATGTTGGCACGCACGGCCGCCGCCAGCAGCTTCCTGCAACCGAGGCAAGGGTCAACGGGAAGTGCCGGGTTCGAAACCGGCACGCGACGCATTTTGTGCGGCTTGCCCGCAGACTAACGGTGTGCATGCCGTCACGCAGATTGTGACGCTGAGCACGGAATCAGGGCATGCTTCGGGGGGAAACTATCATTAACTTAAAATTAGAGGCATTGCAGCGACAATGACAAACGCCCGCGGACAGTGTGTAGAACCCATCAGACTAACGCCTGGTGGAAAGGCGAAGACTGTGAGAAGACTAACACCTGATAGAAAGGCATTAGGAGAAGGCAGGTGCCAAGCCCGTTAGAGAAACTCCAGCAGGGATTTGAGAGCACGAGACCGTTAAACAATAAAACGGACGCTCGGGATGGAAGGCTACGAGTGCGTGAAAACTTGCCGTTGGATTCAGCAGCCACTCAGGGTAAGCCCGCATCTGTTGTTGTTAGCTAACAAAACTTGCAGTGAAAGCGTCACGTTTGGAGCAAAATCCCGCGCTTTATAGTAAACACATCACAGTTTAGACGACGAGAAACGCAATGACGATAGAAATCGACGCCTGATGCTGCAACACATTTCAAAGCTTGACGATATTTTGTTCTGTTTTTTTTTCGGAAACGTACACCTGGCTGAATTACAGTTACAGCAAAACTAAAGAGCATCCTGCATGCTTAAGTGCTCACTATAGGATGTCTGCAATAATTCTGTCAGCCTCCAAAACTGGAGCGACAACCTTTTCACCATGGAAGCTGACCTGAATGAGCTCTGTGTTCTGACTACGACCAGAGACTAGTCTAAAGCTAGTGCTATCGCCACCTGTGACAAATACAAACAAGTTCTTGACCCGATCGACCTGATTTACCGTGGTCGCTGCAGAGTCGCATGTTTGGATGGAAAAGTAAACCTCAGAGCGCCCTCGCCCTCGCTCTCGCCTGACCGCCGCGCACCATGGTCCGCGGCGACAGGCGCACGGCGCTCCACTCCGCTAACAATAATGGCCGGCAGGCCCCATGACATGTGCATCTGTTGTGTGTTAGTCACATCAGGACATCTTCAGTCCGCCACCGCGATGGCATGGGCGACGCGAGCCTCGCGCACTGCATGGGAATTGATCCAGAGCCCTCCATCCGACATCCCACGTGCCGGAGCCGATTGCACCGCTCCGCGCCGCCGGCTGCCGCTCCCCATCCGTCTGCCTCTTCCCCCCGCAGCGCCGCGGCGATGGAAGCACCTGCACCGTGTCAGCGCGGCCGTGAAGGATGTGGCGGAACAACAACTCGCCCCGCTCCACCGCGTTGTGCGCATGAATAAACAAGCGGACGCTGCCGGCGGCTATCAGTGTGGTGGTGCCTTATTCGCAGCCGCCGGGAGGCATGCGAGCAGCCGACTGCGGCGGCTGCCGCGTCGGTCCCGACCGGCAGGGTCGGGACCGGCCGACCGGACGGCGGCCGCCGCGTCGGTCCCGACCGGCAGGGTGGGATGGGACCGGCCGACCGGACGGCGGCCGCCGCGTCGGTCCCGACCGGCAGGGTGGGATGGGACCGGCCGACCGGACGGCGGCCGCCGCGTCGGTCCCGACCAGCAGGGTGGGATGGGACCGGCCGACCGGACGGCGGCCGCCGCGTCGGTCCCGACCAGCAGGGTGGGATGGGACCGGCCGACAGGACGGCGGCCGCCGCTTCGGTCCCGACCAGCAGGGTGGGATGGGACCGGCCGACCGGACGGCGGCCGCCGCGTCGGTCCCGACCAGCAGGGTGGGATGGGACCGGCCGACCGGACGGCGGCCGCCGCGTCGGTCCCGACCAGCAGGGTGCGTCCGGACCGGCTGACCGGACGGCGGCTGCCGCGTCAGTCCTGACCGGCATTACGGATCGGGACCGGCCGACCGCTCAGCGGCCGCCGCGTTGGTCCCGACCGGCCGTGCGGATCGGCGCTGGCCGGCCGGCCGCCGTTCGGACGGGTAATAGACCGGGCCGGCAGGCATAGTCGCGGCGGCCACGCCGATATCCCCGGCGATCGGCGCTGTCGCAGCAGGCGGGCAGCGGCGGAGAGGGGAGGGGAAGGAGCGGGCGACAGTCGGCTGGGTGGAGATGCTGGGATGGAACACGACCGGGACTGGCGCATACAAGTGCGGCTACATCAACACGCCTAAGCCTGCAGATGTGCCGCACGGCGCGTGCGATCACATGCGAATGGCTGTGCAAGCAATGTGCTGCCAGCTATGACCTGCATGAGCACAAACAATTGCCTGCATCGAGGCCAGAGACGTCACCAATGGAAATGAAGGTGAGCTATCGCGCCTTGAGCCTTGCGATGCTTTTAGTCGCCAGCGATGATTTCAGTGTCTTCATCAGTTGAGTTACGGAGCTACGGAGCTGATGGCCTCGACTCTGACGACACACATGTCTCCTCTCCCCGAGCAATGACTGGCAATGACCGGCAGCACAGTCCGGCGTGACGTCCCTCATCCCTCATCGACGACGATCGTATTCCGTACTACAAGTGCAGTGAATATATTTTGAATCAAGCCATGCGAGCGCGACATAGCGCAAATGTAGCTACCGCTAAGGAGTTAATGGGATTCAAATGCGTATTTTAGCAAGAGCTTTCCAACGTATCCAGATAAAAATGCCGGAGGATGATTACCTTGACAAATTCAGCTGACATCCAAGTCTTTCCGATAAGCCCTCTAGGAGATCTTGCACTGTGTGTGGGCCATATCAAACGCTATCTATCGAAGTATGCTCTCCGACTGACACTGGGATCGCATCACGTATGCATGTCCGTATGCATATGATTACTCGCTTACTCGCGCAGTTAAGACAGACATCAGTGTGAGGCCGTAGCGCTTTAGGATATCGCCGGCACGACAGCTGATAAGCGCGATTGGAATGCTCCGTTCACCCTGGCCACAACTCAACGTCACGGCTTTTACGACTATCTCTTATTGAAATCAGCGGCGCTATTGCCCATTTTGTTTCGGGGGCAGACGCTGAACGGGGGGGGGGGGGGGGGGGGGGGAGAGAACGTCTCACGTGGACGTCGGACCGTTAGTTATCGTAAACCGACCATCAAAATGTTTCCCTCCCGGACACGGCCGGAATGATTGGGTTCCGCCGGCAGCGCCAAGGTTGACTGCTGATAGTAGCTGACCCCATTCGCCACACTGTCGACGCCGGGGGCTCTCAATCTGCCGCCACCGCCCGCTGAAAACATTTGTGCCGGCTCGATGGCCGCCAACGCGGGAGAGGGCGCGTTCCGGAGGGTGGCCATATTCCGAACGGCTGCCATATCGCGGCCGCTGATGCGCTCGCGGTGCTCTCGAGACGACGGCCACGGAATTCGAGCCGATGCACGGGCAGAGACTGTCAGGAGACGCACCCGTCTCTCGATGGTGACCAGAGTCTCATGCTCGGTTGTCGCGTTATTGGCGGCATTACCAACGACATTTACATTGGGGCAAACAGGGGCATTGGCATGGGTGGAGAAAAATAGTTGTGACATGCGTGCGAGACCTTCCCCGGAATGTCACGCCAGGCTAACGGGGCATATGGACACGATGCCGGCCTAGTCTTTGATGCGGGACATTGGATGACTGGTTTAGTTTTAAATGGATAGGACAATGTCCCGGCTCACCACTTTTTTTACTACAGGTGGTAAATTTAGGAGGCTGCAATGTATTTTTGTGTGCTCACTCTGCAGCCGCTAAGTCATCGCTACACTAGGTGTACTCTGTCCGCACGTCAACCGACGTGGAGTGCCAAGTCAGCACGGCGTGGATAAATCTGACAATGTGGCCGTAATGGCCTTCCCAGATATTTTTTAAGTGCAGGGGCACGACTCGCCCAGATGAAAGACGAAGCACCGCCCGGGGCTTTCCCACTGGTCGGTGTCCGCCGAGCGGGAGCCGAGTCGTCAGTCTTATCTGCGTCGAACAGATGCACGATGAATGTGGCACGCCGCGGGTCGGCCTCGGAGGAGCATCAGACACGCAGGCGGCCCGGCAGCCTCGCTGGCTTGGCCTGCCCCCCCCCCCCCCCCCCGGCTCTCAGCCCTTGCTCCTCCAATGCGCTACAGTTTCTGACCTCCACCACCACCACCGGAGTTTATACGCGGCAACTATAGACGAAACTGCTATAATCCATCGCAACAACATATAACCGCCGCCACTGGGCCACGTCTGAACAAATTGTCAACACACCGCTTTTAACGGCTGGGTTAAACCGAACACCTTAGTCGAACCAAGCTAAAAATAAACTGATGGAAGCCGGATCAAACTGAGCAGGCAGCTGCCACCAATGCATCCACACGTACCCACCAGACGCCAGTGCGTCCCGAGCATCCACACACATGCCGCCAGACGCAGACGGATCTGATCATCCCTCGTCCCGGCGCCTCGCCGCTCCCGAAATCCCGGCTTCCGCGGCTGTCAGCGCTCTCCGCCCCCGTCATCCGACCCCGTCGGCGGCGATGGCCGGACCTCCGGCGGCCGCCGCCACTCCACGTCCGGCGCAGATCATAGCCAACGTCGGCTGTAACAAGCTATCTGAATAATGGCGCGCCCTGTGTCATCGGCTCGACGTCTGGCTTGAAAAATGGCGCGCGAATTGCCGAGTTTGAAGGATTTGGGCGGCGCCCGAGGCGGCGGAGCCGACGGTCGCCTTAACGGACCGAGTAGAGATGAGAGCGGGCTGTATGGTTTGGTGCTTCGCCAGGCACTTAAAGTATCAAAATGTTGTTCCGTCGATTTAGTAGGATTCCCTAACATGCGGAGGGGGTTCAAAGTAACATCAACATACACCAGCCCCCTCCCCGTCAGTTTATTTCTGCTCAGTCCATGGTATTACCAACTGGTGCAGCAGAATGAGCAGTAAAGCGGTGGCTCTCCATGCTGGGTACGTCCCACTAGCCAAAAACCACTTCCATTTTAAACGGGCTCCTTGCGTCGACGTGAATCTAAGATATCTTTAGAGCTATCGAATAGCTGATAGGAAAAA